CAATCCTAGGACTAGCAGAAGTCAGAATCACAGCCTTAAAATAGGCCCAGGAACTGAAAGCAGTGTTGCTACCACTGTGCACAGACACACTTCCTCCCACCATGCTGGCCCACAACCAGCTAACAGCCATTGGGTTGAAGGGTTGCTGTCATTCCAAGAGAGATTTGCCCAGTGGCTGCAAAACAGCCGGAACCTCAGATCAAGAAGCTGTCTCTTTAGAGGCTTTGTACTCAGCTCACTATAGCCCACTCCCATTCTTGGGACCACTTTCCCTTTCTCAACAACTCTTTTTCCAGATCCTAAAAAAAAAAAAAAAAATTCTATGGGCAGACATTCCAAGAGACATCCTTACCCCAGACATTGGCTCAGCCTGTGCTGGCTATTTCACAGCTTATGCTGAGCCCATGCATGCCATTCTGCTTTTCTATGTAATTCCTATGTCCCCACAGAGCCTGTCTCCCTTTTTACAGTCAGGACATAGAGGTGGTACTTGGTCACAGTCCTCTTCCCTTCCAGCCATACTTCCCACAGAATCCCCAGCTACCACTCACACCCTATTAAAAAAAAATGCCAGCTCAGTTGGGGGGTACAGGGGGGCATCCTAATTCAAAAGGTGATCCCAGGGGCCTGGCACACGTGAGAACACAGCTCACAGAAGGCAGCAGCTCCTCCATCTTTCTTGAACCTTCTCCAGGTTGTCTCTCACTGGCCTCAGCTGGAGTTGACCAGGCCTCCCAGTTCTGTGATATCAGGAGAACCCATGCCCTCTGAAGTGCAGCTTCCCCGCACCTTGTGAAATGGGGTGGTAGCAGAGCCTCCCTCCACAGGAGCCAACCTATAGCAAATGCAACAAGAGCATCTGGTCTGTGGCACAGTGTGGGCAGAGTTCTGTGCAGTAACACCTACCCAGGCCCAAAGCTACACCTACAAAGCTCCCAGAGGCCAGTCCTGAGAAGTACCAAAATCTCACTCAACCCAAACCACTGCTCCAGCCTCAACTCTCACAGCCCCCTCCAAATTGCCCAGCATCTCCTCCATCCAGCCCTCCTAGACTCAGGTCTGCCCAGAAGCCAATACCATTCACAAACCCCTTCCGTGGGTAGTCCAGCGACTCTAGCTCTTGTGCCTGTGACCCTTTCCTTGGTCAGTCTCAGCCAAGCAGGCACATGTGCCAACCTGGCAGACACAAGGACATACTGGCATACTGAGGACAAGTCTGGGTGGGCCTCTGCTCCAGGCAGAGTGTGAACTCAGGTGCACCCTGAGTTGAGGGCACAATATCACCCCCTCCAAACCTGTGTTCCAGGCAGTGCCATGAGACCTACCGCTTAGGCACACACTTCAGGGATAAACAGAAAGAATAACACAAAGCACTCAGCACTATGGACAGGGAGGACCCCTACACCATCTATTAGACAATGAAACCCAACACCCAGACATGAGGCCTCCAAAAATACTCCAAGACAGAGACAATGGCAAGCAGCAAGATGTGGGTCCCAGCCCCCGAGAGCTCACACTGGTTGGTGAAGCAAACTGCCTATTTTAAAGAGGTCCTGCCTGTGTTGCCATCCAGGGTCCAGGAGCAGCCCCACCTGTGTGAGAATCAATGGGCCTTTAGATGGCTCTATCACATGGGTGGGCACCAACCAGTCAGGGAGACCAGAGATCTCTGCAGCTACAGAGCCATAAGTAGTTTCCTATGGGAACACCAAAATGTTGCATGGGCAGCCACAACCTTGGCTGCTTCCAGCAGACTTTTTACTTAACCTGGCAATCACCTACGCAGCTGTATTCTCTCTCCCCTGAGAGATGGTGTCCTGCAATAAAGCAAGAACAAGCCCCAATCCCTGGTTCACAGTAAGTGCTCAAAAATGTTTTGACTGAGGTCATCACAGAACAGAAAGAGAGAGAAGCAGATTTGTAGCTACAAGGTGCCTTTCATCCCGAGAGCCAAGTGAGTATCCTTATGCAGATAATGCCAGCAACTTGGTTCCATCTTATAAACAAACACTGACTCAGACAGGACAATGGCTGTCCCAGAGATTCTCTGGACACCTCAGAACCACCTCAGGAGGAAAACAAAACAGCATAGCTCTGAGTAACAAGCTTTACTTAAATAACTAAGTTCATTTATAATGGGCTGGGTGTGTCACTCAGTGATAAAGCATTTGTTTAGCAAGGCACACGAGGCTCTCAGTTCAATTCCCAACACCAATAAATTTATTAATAGACCCAACAGGTTGTCACAGCTGTAAAGTGAGGATGACAGGACGTAATCCAAAGGATAAAATTGAAACACATGGCAAAACAAGACAAAAATGCAATGCTGTCCCACAGGCTGAAAGGGTAATCCAGAGTTCCTACATTCTGAGTGTGTGGGTCAACCATCAGACCTATGATGGATAATATCCACCATAGACTTGATAAAATCTAGAACCACTTAAAAAACAAGCCTCTGGGCAAGGATTGGAGGGATTATCTGGATTGGGTTAATCCATGTGGGGAAACCCACCTTGAATATAGGCAGGCCCATCATCTCATGGGGTGGATCCCTGGACTAAATAAAACATGAGCTTGGTGCCAGCAAATCTCTCTCTCCCTCTCTCTCTCTCTCTCTCTCTCTCTCTCTCTCTCTCTCTCTCTCTGCTTCCTGGTGCAGATACCATATGACCAGCAGCCTCAAGCACCTGCTGCCATAATGAACTCTATCCTTGAATTCTGAGCCAAAACAAACCAGTCCTTCCCTAAATTGCTTTTGTTAAGTATTTTGTCACAGCAACTCAATGCAAGACTCTAACCCACCTGGGACATAAGTCCCTACCAGGCTTGTTCCTTCCTCTCTGAACATCAGATTTCTCATGTGAAAAGAACAGTCTCTTCTAAGAGGCAAAGGCTCAATTCTCCTTGGCCATCCATCCACACAGCAGGGAAATGCTTCATTTGTTCCCGACATGTTTACTGAGGTCATGCTCTGTATATGTTCCCATGTTAGGCACCAACAGGAGCACTGGGCAGTGCCCTCATAGCTCTTGATTGCTGGAGGGACAGCCACACAGCTCATTACAAAGCCACAGTCATGTCAATCGTCTAGGACAGAGGGGACAGGGCTGTGTGACTCGGTGTGGAGGATGGGTTCCAGGCAACAGCAGGGAGCTGAGTGGCAAATGAGTAGGAGCAGCTTCCCATGCAGAGAAAGCAGCAGCACACACAGACATCCAGAACCTCAAAGCATTAGTATCTAAGAATGAGAGGATGGAGGGAGCCTGGCATGTGAGGGAGGACTGAAGGCTAGGAGAAGTGGCAGGGCTAACAGGCACAGCAGGCCTGGCTCGGCATGTAGGGAGGCTCTGGGATCATACTGACCAGCAGTCAGCCAGCTGTGCCACACTTCCCCATTGGGTGCCCCTGAACAAGACTCCTCATGGGTGCCAGATTATATTCCTGCTTGGCAAAAGTGATATTGTGTCACTTTTGAATTAATAGAGCATGCACAGAGCACCTGGCATGCAGTGAGTTCCCAAGTAAGGCTAGGTATTGGGTATACTGCTCTCAGGGAATGACCCTCCAGGCTGTCTGGGAGTAGAGGCTATTACAGGAGTGATGATACTCTCAGGTCAACAACAGAGGTAGATGTGTTTAGAGAGGAGTGTGAAGGGGCTACCTGGAGCTGCTCACATCACAGGGCTGAGGGGTTTGCAATAGATGGTCCCCCAGACCCTCCCCAACTCAGACATCCTGTGCCAAGGGACAGCTGGTCATGACAGGCGGGCACACAGTAGGTGCTCATATACTGAGTCCATTAATAAAGGTACTCTAATTTGGCTACAAATCATTCTCTGAACACCTTTTTGAAGAAACTACTAAAATCTATGTGTTCATTCATCCCACCTCAGAAGACACCCCCAGGTGGCTGTACCTGCCTGATAAGAGAACTCCACTAAAGGTGAGCTGTGCTATACCCTGAGGTCTGAGAAGGTCAAGTGCTAAACAGGCCCCCTTCAAAAGAGAATTGAATCTACTTCTGTCCTCATCAAGACTTCAGGGCGTGGCCTACCAAGGGACCTTAGGTGGCTGGCTTTAACCTGTCCCTGATACTCTGTGGCCTTACCAAAGTGCACTTCCACTTTGGAGCACTGATTGATTGAATCTAGAAAGCTGTCACCTCCCAAAATGAAAAACTGAAGAAAAAAAAAAAAAAAAAAAAAGCCAAGCCCATACCGGGAGGAAGGTTGGGGTGAGGGGACACTGACAACATGGAATGAAGTCATTCCTTGCATGAAGAAGGGAGGGGTCTTTTTTTTTTTTTTCTCAGAGAAAATGACAAGCCGGAGACTATAGTGGAGGGGGCTCCTCTATATGGGTATGGGCAAATGCATCAATAATGCATTACCTCGTGTCCAAGAAAACCCCACCCACACCTACAGTCCCAGGCCCTTTCAAACAATGACACCCCTACCCCATCCAGCCACTGAATGCCACCTTAGACTAGAATCACACCCAGAGAGACTGCAGCAAGCCCTGATCCCTGTGCCAAGTAGGTGGGATCAAGGGACAGAGGCCCAACAGGTCCCTGATAAAGCTATTGGACAAGAGGGCCTTTGGGTGCAGAAAGACAAAGGCTACAACAAGCAAGAGACACAGCTCTCCATGTGGGCTGGGGATGCGATCGGGGAATACTGCCTTGCGCGCTAGACTAAAGGTCTCCCGAAATCTTACACCCACACTTCCCGCAGCAGCAGTGGGGCCCCCAGGTCTTCCTGGAGAAGACAGAAGAGTTGCAGAACCGCGAAGAGGAAGGAGGAGCTGGGACAGATATCCTGAGACAGAGACGCAAAAACACACAAAGCTCGGGGTTCTGTGGTACCGAAATGATATTGAGACTTGGGGTCCCGAGAGACAGCGCAGGACCGTGGGGACGAACCGAGGACAGGGAGCCTAGGGGAACGCGCGGAGGTGGACTCGCGCGGACACTCACGCGCGCTCCCGGCACCGTCACTCACCCAGGCCGCAGACCTCACGGCGCAGGTTGAGGCGACCACGTTCCTCCGCTATGGCGCGCAGCATGTGCTGCAACGAGCGTTCCTCCACTTCGGCGCCGCCCGCGGGCTCCCGGGAAGCGGACGGCTGCGCGGACGGCCCAGCCCGGAGCCCCGCGGGCGCGGACGCCGAGGCACAGGCCCGGCCCGGCGGCCGTGCGGAGGCCATGCCGGGCCTCGGCTCATCGCCCGCGCCGCGCCCGCGGGGGCCCCCGGCACGCCCCGCCGCCCGTGCCCGGCCGCCGCCCGCCGCGAGCACCAGTGAAGCCACAATCCGCTTGTGTGCGCGTCGCCACCGCCGCCGCTGACCTCGGAGCACAGCACAGTTCTGCGAGCCTCCGCTCTGCCGCCGCCCGCGCGCGGCCGCCACCGCCCAGGCCACGCCCCTAACATAACCACGCCTATAGACCCGCCCTTTCCCCCGCCTCTGGCGGTAAGGTCCCGCCCCTTAATCTCAAAACCCGCCCCACTTTCCGGCTAAGGCCCCGCCTACTTTCTTGCGGCCAACTTCGGTCAACTTCGAACGCCCACCGCGGCCTCGCTGCAACCTGTCTCGTGATGTCCTCTCCACACTATTCCCCTCCCTTCCTTGGCCGCCTGACCTTCGCTGCTGCACGTGTTCCCCCACCCTGAGACCACCTTCTCCCAGCAGCACCCCGCCCCCGACCTCCCTCCAGCAGTCACTTCTCTGAGCCGCCCCCTCTACGCCGCACTGATTTTGCGCTTTGCTTTGTCACCGCCCTGTGCATTCCCTCCTGTTTCCTTTCTGTCTCCACCACACCAGCTTTTCTTCCTGAACCGTCCTCCTAGGTTCTGATAAAAACTTGCTTCCCAGAATTCTACAAGAAGTAGCCACCTCCAAAAAGTGGTCGGTCTCCTGGGGGCCACAGTGCAGGATGGGACGCCTCAATTCCCTTGGCTGTACACTGGGGGAGGGGCCTGGGAATTTGTTCCCTGTCTTCTTAGCTCCTGTGCTGAGGAGGTGTGTGGAGGCCAGAGGTGGATGAGGTCAGCTGACATGTGATTCTGGCCAAAGTCCAGCTGGGTCATCCATCCCTGAGCTAAGAGGGGAGGATCCAGGGAAGCAGCTGCTACAGGCTGTCTTCTGACCTCATCCTGTGGTCCTTTCTCAGGATAGCAGTTAAGTGGCCAAGAACTACTTGCTGCTCCCCACCAGCTGCGTCTCCAGTGTCAGCTCCAGTGTCACTCCCATCTAGAGTGTCTTCTCCCCCGTCTCCTACTGTTTACTTCCCTTCTTTGGGTCCCAGTGTCTTCAAATACATTTCCTCAAAGCCCCACCTTGCCTGGCTCATCTGTTCTATTTCTCTGCCAGCACCCTTACCACCTCCCAGACATCACATCGCATAGCTGCAGAAGGCTTCAAGGCCTCACCAGGAACCAAAGCACCCAGCACCATTATTACCTTGGACTTGGCAGGGGTCAGAATGGTGAGAAAGCAAACACCTGTTGTTTAAGTCATGGTATTTTGCCAAGGCAATGCTGTGTGTTCTGCAAGCCTGTCTTCGGCTATCTGTTCCCAGTGCCCAAAAAACTCAGGCTACTTGATAGAGAATGGAGGAGAGAGGTCGGCCAAGGGAGATTGCATTGGGAGGTATGGCACCATGAGGTGTGGAATTCACCTCAGAGCAGAAAATGGGCAGCATCGAACCACTATTTGATTCTTATCTAGAGATTTGTGCCACTGTCCCCTGACACCCTCAGGGCAGGGCCTGATGCTAACTCCTTCCATGATCCCAGAGTCACACACAGGAGGGACTCTGTAAAAAGATGTGCATAGAGAAAATTAATGGCCTTTGACCCCCATCTGCTAATGAGGACACAGCATGAAGGTTGAGGTGCCCAACTGTGAGTCTGGAGAGCTGAGGTTTGGCTGCTGAGCCTGAGGGGAAGGGTATGGCCATCAGACAGCTTGTGCGAGCTCTCAAAAGCTGGCAGCAATCCACTTCTTTACTTCCAGGGAAGTCACATCACTGCCTACACATCCACACGGCCAGGCCAAGTTCTTGCCTGAAATCCTTGCTGCTCCAACACCACAATCACCTTCAGGGTTCACCTCCCCTGGGAAGCCTTCTGAGGAGTTTTGCCAAAGCACTGTGTCCTTAGCCACTTTGCAATCCCTATCCCTCGACCCCACAAGCTGCCTCCAAAGGACCAACATCAAATCAATTCATTCCAATTTCCTTGGCATCTGTTCCAGGACAGGTGCCAGAATGTATTTGTTGAATAAATAAATAAAAACGTTACTTGGGTTTTCTCATCAGTAATATTCATTGTCCACATGGGGACGCCTCCAACTGTCATGTATAGGATATCTTGCACTGGACAAACGCGTCACACTTTCCTGGGTCTTCTTAATATGGACTAAGTGATAAGCACCCAGACCAAGGAACAGTTGAAAAGCAAGTTGAATATGAGTGTGGTCAGTTCAGGTCTTTAAAGTGGGAGAGCAAGCTGGCTGGCTGGTGCACGCCTGTAATCCAAGCACTCAAGATAAGAGGGCTGTGGACCAGTGAGGTCCACCACCAAGCCTGCCACCAAGCCTGACAGTCTGAGGTCAATATTCTGGACCTGCATGATGGACGGAGAGAACCAACTCTGACTAGTTTTCCTCTGACCGCCACATGTGTGTTGTGGTGTACATGTCCACACACATGAAGAGATTGGCTGGATTATCAGCCTGGGCCAGTAAGACTTAAAAAAAAAAAGACTGTCAGAAAGACTTGATAATGATAAATGCTTTGTTAGCCCTGTGGGGCTCAGCTGGACTCCTAACTCCCTATAGAACCATAAGATAATAAATGTGTCTTCTTAGTTGTGTTTAATATTAATTTGTTGTGGCAGAACAAAAAAAAAACAAAAAACAAAAACAAGTTATAAATAACCTGAATTCGCCTTTGTCTAGCCAGTCTGTTGCTTTTCTACAGTTCTGCTCTTCCAGAACACACGGAAGGGAACCCAGTACAGCACTTCATTCCATGAAGTTCCTCACACCCCAGAACAGTGGAGCTAAGTTTAGCACAACTGGAAACCAACCACAAGTCACTCTCTTTATTGGGTCAGTTGCTTGATTTTTCATGTTACTGCCAGCCTAGTATGCTGAGGTGGTGTCTGTGATTCTATTTTTAGCTTTACCTGTTTGGGGATGATCTTACTCTAAGAGCTAGTCAGGACAAATGCCTGTGGACTCCTTTCCTGGTGTTTTGGGTGGCCGGAGGCCTAGAGACCTGCTAGAGAAGACCCTTGAGAGTCCCATACCACTGAAAATCTGCTAAAGGCATGAGCTTCCTGGGTGGTGGTAGTGCACACTTGCAGCTTCCTGGCCTGATATTCTTATGATGCAGGGTTTCTCCAACTCACTCAGAACTTATTCTTTGTTTTTGAACCTGATCCTCCTGCCTTCATCTCTGGTGCTGAGATCACAGGTGTACATCACCACCACACAGGGCTCCCCAGCCTCTCTTTCATCTGGGAAGTTGAATGCAGCCATCCTCAGGTCTAGACTGCCCCTGTTATGGAATATTATTTTAACCAGGCAATGATGTTACATTTGTTTGTGCTGCAGAATATTACTTTAACTGTGTAAAGGTGTGTTGCTTTTTTATGCTTCATTTATTTAACAATGTAAAGATATGTGTTTAATTATGTAATATATGTACAAGTCTCTGTGTCATGATTGGTTGGTGGCCCAAAAGAAGAAGCCTGTTACAGGCCACCCCCTTTGTTACCCTGCTGCATGTGAAGCAACCAACTGTTAAGTTCCTCTTGACTCCCTCTCTCTTCTGCCCTTTTTCTAATGGCATAAAACAAACAAATTTTGTGTATGTGCTGTTTGTGTGAATGTGTGTGCATGCTTGTGTGTCTGTGCTCATGTATGTATGACTATGTAGTGGACAGAGTGTAAGTATGTGTGCACATGTTCATGTGTGCACTCGTGTGTATGTATGACTATGTCATGGGCAGAGGTTGATTTCTATTACTTTCCATCTTATTTTTTTAAAAATGGGTGGCCCTAGAGCTCACCAATTATTCTAAACCACCTGGCCAGCAAGTAGCCCCGGTGACAACTGCTCAGTGCTAGAGTTGAAAACATGCCACTGAGTCCAGCTTTAAAAAATAGGGATTATTGCTTTATGCATATGTTTTGCCTGCATGAATGTCTGTGCACTGCATGTGTGGCTGGTGCACATGGAAGCCAGAAGACGGTGTTGGATTCCCTGGAACTGAACTTACAGTTATCAGCTGCCATGTGGGGCTGGGAATGGGATCTAGATCCTCTGGAAGAACAGCCAGTGCTCTTAACCCCTGAGCCATCTCTCCAGCCACCAAGTTCAGCTTTTATGTGTGTACCGGGGATCTAAATTCAGATCCTCATGCTTGTATGGCAAGCATTTGCTGAACCATCTCTCCAGCCTCCAAAGAATATTGCCTTCAGTAGTATCTAGAATTCTCTCATTAGCACTCTGTATTTCTTTTAATAGCTCCCACTGAAACTGCCCTGGAAGGGACAACCTTACAATTATAATTAGATGTTGATGCCTTGGTGAGAAAGAAGGAGTCACATATTTTGAAAGCAACACCTTATAGAATTGAGATCAGGGAGATTCGGAATAACATTATTTTTGTACTAAGAATTTGAACCCAAGGTTTCAAACATTCTGGCAAGTGCCCTCTCACTGAGCTATATATCCTCAGCCATTTTGGATGTTTTTATTTTGAAACCTGTTTCAAACCCTGTTTTGCTAAAAATCCTAAATAGACTGAGCTTGGAATGCTCTTCTTTACTCTAGTATTACAGATATGGACAGACACATTAATAAAATCTTTAACACATAATAATAATACTTTGCCTCCAGAATCCCTGTATTATCTGGTTTTGTTTTTATTTTGTTGAGAGAGGGGGTCTCTGTGTATCCCTGGCTGTCCTGGAAGTTACTATGTGGACCAGGCTGGCCTCAAACTCACAGAGATCCACCTGCCTCCACCTCCCCAGTGCTGGGGTTAGAGGTGTACACCTCCACAACCCCTGGCTAGAGAGACTTTTCCAAAGCCCAAACCTAAATCCTTTCCTATTCTGCAGCTGGGACCAGATGCCCTGGAGCCCCTGTCTCTCCCTCCTGTTACTTTGACATCTGCCTTTTCTGCCATCTTTCCAGCCATGAACTCTTAGTGTTATTTCCTGTCTGGAAAGTTCCTTCCCATCAGACACCAGTTTTCCAAGGAAGTGTTGAGAATCTGTGACCCAGTTCCAGGTCTGGTTTTCCCTGATCCCTAAAAGCCTGT